AAACCTGAGAGGATTCTTCACCAAAAGACCTGTGCTACAAAAAATGTTAAAGCAAGCTCTTCAGGGGGACAAAAATTTGATACTAGGTAAAAACTTCTATCCATAGAGGAATGAAGAGTACTATAAATAATAAATTTGGGGGTAAATAGAAAAGATACCATTTTCATTTCATAATTTCTTTAAAATATAATTGACCATCTAAAGAAGAGAAAGCTTTGTGGTTTTAATGCATTTAGAAATAAAATATATGAGAACAATAGAATAAAAAGATGTGAAGGGAAAATGTAAGTATCTAGTTGTAAGATTTTTGCATTATTTGTGAAGTTGTATAATCACTATAAGACTGTAATAAGCTCTTTTTAAAAGCATACTGGAAACCTTAGAACAACCCCTAAAACAATAAAACAGTAAAAATATAGTATAGCTAATAATCCTATAGTGAGATAAATGGAATTCTAAAAAGTAGTGAAGATACATGGAATACTAAGCAAATATAAAACTCGTCCAAGAGAAGGCAGGAAAATAGGGGATAAAAGTAAGACTAGATGACAAGATAATAGATTAAAACCTAATAATTACATTCACTTTATTTTTTTTTCTAAAGATTTTATTTATTTATTTGAGACAGAGAGAATGAGAGAGACAGAGAGCACATGAGAGGGGGGAGGGTCAGAGGGAGAAGCAGGCTCCCCGCCGAGCAGGGAGCCCGATGCGGGACTCGATCCAGGGACTCCAGGATCATGACCTGAGCCGAAGGCAGTCGCTTAACCAACTGAGCCACCCAGGCGCCCAAATTACATTCACTTTAAACAGTCCGTGGAGAAGTCAGCAAACTTTTTCTGAAAAGGCTCAGATAGTAAATATTTTAGGCTCTATGAGTCACATATGGTCCCTATCACATATTCTTCTTTATTTATAACCCTTCAGAAACGCAAAATCATTCTTAGCTTGAGGCTGTGGGCTGGATTTGGTCAGCATACCACAGATTGCTAGCCCCTGGTCTAGACACTAAAAGGCAGTGATTATCAGACTGGATAAAAAAGTAAGACCAAACTATATGCTGTTATATGAGATACACTTAAGTTAAAATAAAAGGCTAGAGAAAGATATGCCATGAAATAACAATAAAAGAAAGCTGAAGCAGTTATATTAATACATAGAACGCAGGAAAAAGAATATTACCAAAGGAACATTTCATAATAAAGGCGTCAATTCATCAAGAGGATATAGGAATCTTGGGCCACCTGGGCTCAGTCAGAAGAGCATGCAACTCTTGATCTCAGGGTTGTGAGTTCAAGCCCCACACTGGGTGTAGAGATCACTTAAAAATAAATAAACTTAAAAAAAAAAAAAGGACATAGTAATCCTAAATATGCATGCACCTACTAACAGAATTTCAAAACATAAAGCAAAACTGACAGAATTGTAACAGACAAATCAACAGCTGTATTTATAGGTTTCAAAAGTCCTCTTTCAGTAACTGATAGACCAAGTGACAAAAAAAATCAGAAAAGATAGAGAAGAGTTGAGTACTATCACAAAACACTTGACCTAGGGGATAAACACTCTATCCAACAATAGTATAACACTGCTTTTTTTTTTTTTTTTTCAAATGCACATTGAAAAAGATAGTCCACATTTTGGGCCATAAAACAAGTCCCAATAAATTCAAAAGGACTGATGTTACAGAGTATGTTCTCTGACCACAACAGAATTAAATTATGAACTAAATAAATTAAATATGAATTCTCAGAAAGATCTGAAAAAGTCCCCCAAAATTTATATGTTAAAGAACACTCTTCTAAGTAGCCCATGGGTAAAAGAAAAAAGGGAATTTTGAACTCAAAAGGAAGAGAAAATTATGCAGAAAAAAGGAAAGAATAAAATCAGTAATCGAAAGTAGCAATCAGAGAAAGGGCAAACTGGAGAGAAAAATCAGTAAAACTAAAAGCTAGCCTTTGAAAAGATCAATAAAACTGATAAATTGCTAGTATACTGATGAAGAAAAAAAGACAAATTATTAACATCAGGAATTAAGGGGGAAGCATTACTATAGATCTGACAGGCATTAAAAGGATAATAAGGGAATATTATAAACAACTTTATGCTAATAAATTTGACATCTAAATGGAAATAAATAAATTTCTTGAAAGACACAAATTACTAAACTGATTCAAGAAGAAATAAAACCAGGGTGCCTGGGTGGCTCAGTAGGTTGAGCGTCTGCTTTTGGCCGGCCCAGGTCATGGTCCCAGGGTCCTGGGATCAAGCCCCGCATCAGGCTCCCTGCTCAGCAGGGAGTCTGCTTCTCCCTCTGCTCCTCCCCCCGCTTGTGCTCACACTCTCTCCCTCTCTCGAATAAAATCTTTAAAAAAAGAAAAGAAAAAATAAGCCCCCCAAACCCTATATTAATTAAAGAAATTAAAGTCTCCCCATGAAAAAAACTCCAAATTCAGATGGTATATTCACTTTCTATTACTGCTGTAACAAATATAGTACCTTAAAACAACAAATTTATTATCTTACAGTTCTGTATGTTAGAAGTCCAACAAGGGTTTCACTAGACTAAATCCAGGTGTCAGCAGGGCTCTGTACCTTTCTGGTGGCTTTAGGAAAGAGTCTATTTCCTTGCCTTTTCCTTGCCTTGACTAGCTTCTAGAGGCCACTTACATGGGTCATGGCCCCCTTCCTCCATCTTCAAAGCCAGTAACATTGCAGTTCTCTAACAGGAGTATACACATTACATTCTCACATCTCCCTCTGATCCTGATTCTTCAGATAATAAAAATAACCTCCCTATCTCAAAATCATTAATTTAATAACATCTGCAAATTCCCTTTTGCCACATAAGGTACCATATTCACAGGTTCCAGGATAAGCAAGTAGACATATCTGGGGGTGATTATTGTGCTTACCACAGATCCCTATGTTGTTGAATTCTATCAGACAATTAAGGAAGAAATACTACAATTCAATAAATTCTTCCAGAAAATAGAAGAAGATTTATTTCCTGACTTATTTTATAAATTAAGGTGAAATAAAGACATTTTTATGTTAAGAAAGCTGAGAGTATTTATCATCAAAAGAGACAAACCATGGGAAATGCTGAAGGAAGTTCTTCAAGCTAAAAAGAAATGATACCAAACAGAAATTCAGATCTCAAGAAGCAAGAGCAATTAAAAATGGTATATATGTGGATAAATAAAATATATTTGCAAATAATCCAATAAAGTATTTTTTCAAGATTCTTTTGATTCCTTTGTTTCTGTGGATTTTCCCCTTTTTAAATTTTTATATTGCACTTTCTCTTTCCTAATTTGAGATTTGTCTTATCTTATTAATGATAAGTTTTTCCTGTTTTCTAACACATATAATTTTTATCTTTATAAATTCCTTCCATATTTCCTTCTACTTCCTTTCAACTTATGTATTTTCATTATTTTTGTTAGAAGCATTAAAACTGTAACTCTGCCCTTAGAGTCTTACTTTAACAAAATCCCATGGGTTCCAAAATATAGTGCTATCACAGAGTACCAGAAAGTCTTTACTTTTATTTTATTTATTTATTTATTTTTTTAAAAGATTTTATTTATTTATTTGAGAGGGAGAGACTGAGAGAGAGAGCACATGAGAGGGGTTAGGGTCAGAGGGAGAAGCAGACTCCCTGCCGAGCAGGGAGCCTGATGCAGGACTCGATCCCAGGACTCCAGGATCATAACCTGAGCCGAAGGCAGTCGCTTAACCAACTGAGCCACCCAGGTGCCCCAGAAAGTCTTTACTTTTAGATTATATTTCTTCTTTGATCCAGGAGCAATTATTGAGACAGATTTTACAAATTGTTGGTAAGAGTAACTTTATTTTTCTGATTTTGTTATTAAATCCTTGCTGTATTTCATTGTGTTCAGAGGATATGGTTTATCATTTGTACTTACTTGGACTTAATTGTAGCCTAATATTTTGTTATTTTTCCTGAATGATCTATGAACACTTGAAAAGAATGTATAATTATTATTACTAGGATACAGAACTGAATATACATCAATTAGGGAGATTTGATAGAGTGTTTCGTCCTTACTAAATTTGTCCACTTGGCCTGACTTTGACTGAAAGGATTAGTTAGTGTCCTCTACTGCTTTCTTCTTCTATCTGCTTTCCTATCTGCTCACGGAAATGTGATATTTGATACATGTGTATTTATAACTATGTTATCTTCATTTTGAAATGTATACCTTAGAATTATATAGTGTCCTTCTTTGCCATGTTTAGTGGTATGATATGTCATGAATTTTGGTGTTTTTAGTTTCCATTTGTTTGTTATAATTTATCCATCCTTTCATTAAACTTTCTAAGTCACGTAAGTGTCTCAGAGTCTCCTAAATACAGAGAGTTGAGTTTTTCTTTGAGACTCAACCTAAAAGCCTTTTTCTGAGTTAAAATTCATATATATTTATTAATAGTACATATATTTATTTTTTGCTCTTAGTTTTATCTTGTAATTGTTTTGTTCATTTGTTTATATATATACGTGCATATATATCTGTGGGTCTTAAATCTTAAGTCTGGTATTATACAAATTTATTTTTTGTCTCTGTCACTACAAGTTAAGTTTCACAAGGGATGATTTGTATGTGTCCGATTTTTTTCCCCCACTGATTTATTTGTAGTTACCTAGAAGTAATATTTGTTAAATCACCTCATCAAACCAAAGTTCTGACAAGAGAAACATCAGTATTTCCCTTTTCAAAAGAATACTATTTCTGTTCTCTCCTTCTCCTGGCAGAAGTCTGAGCATATGAGAAATGAAAAATTATTTATTGAATGATTATAAGAACACTGGTTAGAAAGGAGAGGAGGAAGACCCTGAAGTTTTGAAACTAACACTTACTCACTAGTAAGTTATTGTATGATATTCAATCAGGCAACAATATCAGGATAAAGAATGCAAATATTCATAGGACTATAGAAAAAAAAGGACATTAGGAACAAAAAAATCAACTTACATGGGCCATGGTTTTTTTTTTTAGAATTCAATGTATTAGTCCTCTTCTTAGTTCCACTTTAGAAGAAACTCACAGTCCAAAGAAAATATTGCTGGATGAGAGGGGTTTAAAAAAAAGACATGAGATGATTTTGCTTCTTAGCTACCAACTTGCTAATTCAGAATGACATTTTTCTTCCCCTTGCACGTCTCCTATGCCCAATCTCCATACACACATACATGAAAGATTAGAGGGAAATTGGACAAATCCCAACCTTACTCAAAACAAGAAGGGAAGCCAGGTATAGTAGAATGGAGTCAAGAAAGACTGGGCCCAGGTCCCAGAACGACTGGGACCAGTGTCCCAACCCTATGATAAAATGAACACAACCAACCTGTTCAGACCTATCCGGACAAGATCTTCAGTGAATTAAGAGGAAAAAGAAAAGGAAATGGACATTACAAAAAGATTAGAGAAATAGAAAACAACCCAAAAGCCCTAATGCATGACTCACAGGAATTTTAAAAATAGAGACTGATGGAACACAGAAGAAAAAGAAGAAATAAACAAAACAAAAATTTCCAAGCCAGAGGCGCCTGGGTGGCACAGTCAGTTAAGCGATGGACTCTTGATTTCAGCTCAGGTCACGAGATCCAGCCTGTGTCAGGCTCTGCACTGAGCCTGTAGCCTGCTTAAGATTCTCTCTCTCTCCCTCTGTCCCCCCACCTCCGCACGCACATGGACATGCACTCTCTCTCTATTAAAAAAAAATTCCAAACCGAAATAAATACTTGAGACTTTAATTCGAAGTACTGGTCAGAAAGCACACCTGGAAGCATCCTGGAAAATCTTCTGAAATTTATTCCTGAATACATACAAAAGACCTAAATATCCTGTAATAAAGAATTACAAAACAATGTGTATTGTGGTCTAATCTTTCAGGGAAAACACACATATACATAAGCATATATGTATGCATATAAGGAGGGTGAAAGCACTTGTAATAAAATGTTCAAAGATGGGGTGCCTGGGTGGCTCAGGCGGTTATTCATCTCACTCTTGGTTTCGGCTCAGGTCATGATCTCAGTGGGATCAAACCCCGTGTGCGGTGGCTTGTCCCTCTCCGTTCCTCTCCCTGCTCACATGCTCCCTTTCTTTCTCTCTGTCAAATAAATAAATAAATAAATAAATCTTTTAAAAAATGTTTAGAGTGGTTGAAGAATTATAGGTAACTTTTACTTTAAATAAAGTAATATAACAAAAGAATTTCAAAAGTTTATATGAACATTTTGGTAAGTAGCAGCACCTAATCATCTCAGACACTGATTTTGGAAGTGCAACAGTGCCATTCTTTCCTCCTACCCTAGGTGTTTCTAAGGGGAATGGCAGAAGTAGTGAGGTAGATAAGAACTACGAGACACCAGGCCTTTCCTAAGTAATCTCTAAACCCAATGTGGAGCTGAACTCACAACCCCAAGATCAAGAATCCCATGCTAAAAAAATCTTTAACAAAAAAACAAAAACAAAAAAGAATCCCATGCTCTACTGACTGAGCCAGCCAGGTGCCCCCAACCAGGCCTTTCTTGAAGCTCAAACTTTGTGTGACCTTGTGTGTGATGTGGAGTACACATTATTTGTGACCATGGTAACTATGATTCTATGACACTTGGTGATGTGTTTGAGCTCTTCAGATAACTGTTGGGGATGACGGCTAAGTAGGCATAAGGGCAGTTTGTGGTTGGGGAGTGGTTGTTTTTGTTTTACTATATATATGTGTCTGTGTCTGGGGTAGTGGGATGATGATAAACGTGAGTTGTATTATGTCTTTTTGGCTTTGTGTTGTATGAATCTACAGTTGAATACTGGAATGTCTCCCTAACTGCCTGATTACGTGAGCCTGGGTGTAACGCTTTGCGTAATTGTGCTTTTTTTCTTTCATGCAAGTATCTGAGGCTCACACAAATAGCCACCTGCAATCATGGTCACAACCACATACAAACTCCATTCACACAAATGGCCACGCAGACAATTACACTGTCACAAAAGCACGATCCGAATCCAGTCGCTCTCACAACTAACAGCCAAATATCCTTAGTCCGGAGACAAACTCATAGTTTCCTTCAAGCACTCACAACAACCCAATCTATCCTCCTAGAGCAGCTCCTGCACTTTGGAGGCCTAACACTCCAGACACTCCTCTTGCTCCAGTTCCAGGAGTCCTTACCTTCAGCATCCTCAGGAAGGGCTCTGGTCCAAATTCTGATTTGCATTCCAGGTGAGGCCGCACGCCTAGCCTTGCACACTCCGCTGGTCGAGTAAAAAGCCCTCACCTGCCTCTGCGGCCGACCAGTCAGCCAACGTTCCTACCGGAAATAGCTTTGAACCGCTGTGTCCTCTGGGAAACGTAGTCCAAAAGGAAAGCGCCGGGGAGTTGAAAGTGGTAAATCTCCTGCCGGGTTTCGGGATGCACCTGCGCAGTTTCATCGGGCCTGGAGTGACGCTACCACCTCCCTCTTTCGAAGGCTCAGACCCGAATATTGGGTCTGAATCCGGGTCCTCGGATTCCTCTGAGGGCGGATTTCCCCAAGCCTGGCACCGTGGCTGCCCCTGCCTCTCAAGGTGGACGCGCACGTGCTGTGGTTTGAGGGAATTGTTGTCCGATGCGGAGGGATCCGGCCTTCGTCTGTAAGGTGGCTGTGGGAGATGTGTCCGAAGGTGCGAGTGGCCGAGGGTGAGTTTGATCGAGAGGGAGAGGATGTATATGCTACACCGACTGAGTGTGTCCTGAATGAGGAAATTAGTTTGTGAGACGTTTCTGAGACCGTTTGAAATAGTGGTCGTGATGTATACCCGTGTGGGGCCACGCGCAGTGATTGTGAAGTGGTGTAATATAACGTGGCTTAGGAGTGAGGAGCCATTTGAGGCCTGTGATTGATTACGCATGCTTGTAGGTGGCGTGACTATGCGGGCAGTGAGTTTGTAAAGTTTTGTGGGAGGCTGTTTGTGTTGGGTCTACGTGTGACTAGCAGGAGCGGTTGGCTGTGGTAGGTGTCCGTCGCGAGAAGGGAGGAGGCTGGTCTCCCTGATGGACCCTGGTGGATGAAACAGACACCTGGGCCAGGCAGAGCTGATCCTGAGCCTTACCTGTATGCGTGCAAGAGGCGTGAAGCGACCTTGTGGGGTCTAAGCGTGTGCGAGAAACCAGAATTGACTGAGAGGGGTGGAAACTAGTACAGATGATCTGCCAGAAGATGCAAATCTAAAGATTTTTAACCTTGCTGAAAGTACAGAAACCCTATCTCAAAGTGTCGTATGAAGAAATTTATCTGTGAGAACAAGTGGTTGTGTTTCTGGGTCTGATTCTTGGTCACGTGTATGAGTTGGTTTGCATTTGATATTGTCCAAGGTGTTGAGTGAAATATACAAAGTATCGGAAAGTGGTTTGTGACTGTACCCAAGTCTCTGAATGAATTGTATGACAGTGCAAAAGCAGGTGATTAAACATTGTGACGTTGAGGTTGATATATGTGAGTTTTAATTGAGTATGATTGGGAGATCTTGTGAGAGATCTAATAAATTTGTTGAAGGCCTTGATAGACTAAAGACTGCTCTCTCCCAGAGCGGAAAGGAACCCTGCCAGCAGGCAGCTTTTGGACTCAAACGGCAGCTGGGTGTCCAACCTGCTGACCTGACCTATAGATTTCAGACTTAACAGGCTTCTACAATCTTATGAGCCAATTCCTTAAAATCTCTTTCTTAACTCAGTACACACACACAGACACACACATACATCCTGTTGTTTCTGTTTCTCTGGAGAACTCTAATACACTATTATAAGGACATGTATTGTCTAATTTAATCCTCATGAGAACCCTGTGAGGGAGGCATTACCATTCTCAGTAAACTGCTTAGGCAAGTGAGGCATCAAGGGCTGAAATAAGTTGTGAAATGTCACAGAGTTCCTGAGAGATGAAACTAGAACTTGAGTTCCAAAGTCCTCAATCTTTAACTACCAGATTCTACTATTTTCCAACTCTATACCTTCTGCTGTATTTCACTAAGCCATTCCTGATGAGTATCTCTCTTTGACAATTAAATTGAGGCCAAAATCATAGTGATTATAGTGTGGTCTACCATATCTTATTTAACACATTGTTTATTCTGAAACCTTTTTTTTTTTTACTAATTACTGTCAAGAATTCTTTTTTAAATTATTCATTTGAGAGAGAGAGAGCACACACACGAGTGGGGGGGGGAAGGGGGGAGAGAGAGACGCAGACTCCCTGCAGAGTGGAGAGTCCAACTCAAAGCTCAATCCCAGGACACTGGGATAATGACCTGAGCCAAAGGCAGACACCCAACCAACTGAGCCACCCAGGTGCCCCTATTATCAGGAATTCTTCAGTGAACATCTTTGTAATACTTGTTTATTTTTAATTCTTCCTAAGTATCCAGAAGTGGGATTTCTATATAAGACATTAGACATGCCTACAGTGTACCAGAAGTTGTGCCTATGTATTAGGATGAAACACAGATGAATAAGATACAATTGCTACCTTTATGCTGTTCATAATCCAACAGGGGAAATAAAAGTAGGTCAAAGGTAGAACATAACAAAGACCTCTGGAGAAGTGCAATGATAAACCATAGGAGTTGACAAGAAAGAATCCTAACTATAGCAGCATGTCCAAATTATTGTGAATTCACAGGAACTCTTGAATGTGAATTTTCCCTAGTCACGTTTATGCCCTACAGTTTTGACTCCCTTGATGTTGGGTCCAAAGGGAAACTAGTGGAGCAAGGTGATTCTCTGACTGGTTGCAGGGCATTATGGCTAATATTTCAGAAGTGAAATAAATTCTTCCATCAAAAGACATAAAACAACTAGACCAGGGTTTGAGCCTCTTAGCTCTTCTCTAGGCAGAAACCCCTAGGTATGCTTGGAAACAAACTGTTAGAAGGGACATAAGACAAATCATTCATAGCCAACTATATTTAGAATATGCTGAGCTATAGGGCGCCTGGGTGGCTCAGTTGGTTAGGCGACTGCCTTCCGCTCCGGTCATGATCCTGGAGTCCCGGGATCGAGTCCCGGGATCGAGTCCCGGGATCGAGTCCCGCATCGGGCTCCCTGCTCAGCAGGGAGTCTGCTTCTCCCTCTGACCCTCCCCGCCTCATGCTCTCTCTCTATCTCATTCTCTGTCTCAAATAAATAAATAAAATCTTAAAAAAAAAAAATTAAAAAAAAGAATATGCTGAGCTATAAATCTAACCTAAGGACCCATAACAGACTTTTTTTCACCTATTTTTTAAGAAGTTCCCTTTAATAAAATTTCTTAAAAAATAATCTAAAATCAAGACATTCTTGATTCCTCTAAAGAAAATAGGAAGTAAATTTAAATTTATATAAGTTATGGAAGTATACTTAAACCAAAAATCAGTATCACAGACTAGAAATCAATAATGTTAACATTTAGAGGTATAAATCCAGATATTTTTCTTTTTTTTAAAGATTTTGTTTATTAAATGACAGAGAGAGACACAGCAAGCGAGGGAACACAAGCAGGGGGAGTGGGAGAGGGAGAAGCAGGCTTCTGCGGAGCAGAGAGCCCAATGCGGGGCTCGATCCCAGGACCCTGAGATCATGACCTGAGCCGAAGGCAGACGCCTAACAACTGAGCCACCCAGGTGCCCCCAGATATTTTTCTTTCTATTGCTGATGTATGACATTCTATCCGTAATGATATATATGACCTTTTGGTAAATGGAATAGTTGTACATGTTGTGTAGTAACCTGCTTAAGCCACTGTCAGTATATCTTGAATTTTTCTCTATTTTTTGGTTATTCCTCAATTTAATTTTTAATAATCACGTAATATCTTATTGTGAGGAACTTCTGAAATTTATTATATTTGTATATTCTTGCTGGACTCAGAAAGCTGAACCATGCCAGAGAAATTCCTTCTATATGCTGCCTAGCTCCCACATCTGGCCCACCTTCCCCTTTCTTCCAGGGTCATATGGGGCTAGGGTTTGTGGAGTTGGAATGTTTTTGTCATTGGCAGTACTATCACTTCCAAAGACGTCCATCAAGTTCTCCCAGGGGAGGAGTGAGTGCCTGAACCCTGTTCAGAAGGATGTAACTACAAGGATGGGATGTTGGAGCCTGATTTTGCCCATTAAGAATATTTTCGCTCCACTACATCAAAAAAAAATTTTTTTTTGCTCATTATTTATGATCTGCCTACTGGAAGTATCCTCCTTCAGTATGACTCTCTGGAGAGCCTTTGAAGAACTGATTTGGGAGCGCCTGGGTGGCTCAGTCTTTAAGCGTCTGCCTTCGGCTCAGGTCAGGATCTCAGGGTCCTGGGATCGAGCCTGCTTCTCCCTCTCCCACTCCCTCTGCTTGTGTTCCCTCTCTTGCTGTGTCTCTCTCTGTCAAATAAATTAATTAAATATTTTTAAAAAAAAGAATAACTGATTTGGCATTTGTATAACTGGAAACAACTGCATTTTGTTTTTACTGAGGCTTCATTTTCTTGAGATCTAAGGTGATTTCATCTTCCTCTGGCCCTTTTTCCCTGATTGGCAGCACCGCAGCAGACCCAAGTCCCATTTCATTTCCTATATATAGGAGTTTATATCTCTCAGCCAGGTGTGATTTCCTTATCAGAGGAACGGAGACAGCCCTGAATGGTAGAGAAACCAATGAGTAAACAGGCTCCAGGAAAAGGGAAGCCATTACAGTTAAAAGCTCAGCTGATATGAAAAGCTAGAACTTTAAGATGTTTGAGCAGCTTTCTTTAGCCTGAATTCTCAAAGATACATCACCATCATCCCCATTCTGTGTCTGTAGCTATTTCTATAATTATTTTGTGAATGTAAAAGAAATAAATACAGAGCATTAAAATTCAGAAAACAGGGAATCCTAAAATAACAATAGTCTACTATGAACATTTATTGTAAATCCCTTTACCCTCCCTGTATATGTAGACTTTCCTTTCAAAAATAGAATTGGCTACACATGGCTATTGTGAAACCTACCTTTCTTACCTAACACTAGTGAACATTTTTCCATGCCAACAAGTAAAGGTCTAGAGCATCTCTTGTAATGTAAAAAACTTCCATTTTTTAAAAGATGGAAGTGTATCTTCAGAGTAAATTCCTAATATTGAATGTCTGGTAAATATATACTTGAATAGCAATGGTTTGAACTGTGCAGGTCTACATATAGGCAGTAACTATTGTTATTGGTAAGGATTCCACTCAACAGTAGGCTATTAGTAGTTAAGTTTTGGGGGGAGTCAAAAGTTATACATGATTTTCAGCTGCACAGAGGATAAGCATCCATAACCCCTGTGTTGTTCAGGGTCAAATGTAGATATTTGTGGGGTTTTTTTTAATGTGGATAGTTTTTAAACATACTGTTATATGCCCCACTATAAGGCTTGTACCAGCAATATATAATACTGCCTAATCCCCTCTGTATTAGTTTTCTGTGGCTGCTGTAACAAATCATCACAAACAATTATTTTCTCTCATAGTTCTGGGTCCAGAAGTCCAAAATCAAGAAGTCATCAGAGCCAGACTCCCTCTAAAGACTCCAGGGAAGAACCTGTTCTTTGCTTCTTCCACGTTCTAGTGGCTGTAGGTTTTCCTTGACCTGTGGCCCCATCACTCCAATTTCTGCCTCCATGGTCACATTGCCTCCTCTTCCTCTGTCAAATCTTTCTCTGCCTCACCCCTACAAAGACACTTGTCATTGGATTTAGGGTCCACCGAGA